AGCAGGGCATCCCCAGAACAGTTTATCAAATTGCCACCTGGCACATGGGCCAAAGAGTTGCCTACACTCGGAGTACAGTGTGAATGTTAGATAACAAAGAGTGAGCCAAATCTAAGTTACATGTAATCTTAGTGAACAGAACGTCCAAATATTCAGATCTAAACCTATTGCAGCTATTTATTTTTATGTATTTGTATACATGCATTCATATTTTGATTTATAGTCCATCTTTTATCTTGCAGTGTTACTACTACTACAGCTACTGATGATAATTTTCTGCAGTTTATTTCTTCCAAAAAGATCATTTGGTCAGTAGTGTATTTCCTCTTATATTTTAAATCCAAAGAGCTGGTACTGCTTGGCTTTAGAATGTAGCTGGTGCAACTGTTCTGTTTAAAGATAGTCATTTTTTTTGTCCAGAAGGCAAATAACACTTTAATGCTATATTTATTATTTATTTATTTATTTATTATTTATTTATTAAAACATTTTTATGCCGCCCCATTCGCCGAAGCCTCGGGGCGGCTTACAACAATAAGTTAAAATAATTATAAATCAAAAATATAAATATTAAATTAAAATTACAAAAATACAGAATAAAATAAGCCGCCCTGGCCAGATAAAATCCATTAATATTAACAGTTAAAATGCCGCTTGAATAAAAAGGTCTTCGCCTGGCGCCGAAAAACAAATAACGACGGCGCCAGGCAGACCTCTCTGGGGAGCGCGTTCCATAACTTAGGCGCCACCGCAGAGAAAGCCCTCCTCCGAGTACCCACTCTCCTAATTTCTTTCACGGAGGGTTCCCGGAGAAGGGCCTCCCCCGCCGATCTCAAGGGGCGGCTGGGCATATATGGATGCAAGCGCTCCTTCAGGTAACCAAGACCCAAGCCGTTTAGGGCTTTATAGGTCATCACCAACACCCGGACTTGAATTGGGCCCGGACTTCAATGGGAAGCCAGTGAAGCTGACGGAGAACTGGAGTCATGTGAACATAACACCCAGTCCCCGTCAGCAGCCTGGCAGCTCTATTTTGAACCAATTGAAGTATCCGGACCGTCTTCAAGGGTAGCCCCACGTAGAGCACATTACAGAAGTCAAGACGGGAAGTCACCAGTGCATGTGTCACTGTCGCGAGGCAGTCGTACTCCAGATAGGGGCGCAGCTGGTGAATCAGCCGAAGCTGGAGGAAAGCGCTCCTCGCCACCGCTGTCACCTGAGCTTCTAGTGAAAGCTCCGGGTCGAGGAGCACTCCCAAGCTGCGGACCTTGTCCCTAGAAGGGAGTGCAACCCCATTCAGAACAAGGTTCAGTTCACCCTCTCTGAAGCCCGAACCACCAACCAACAGGACCTCCATCTATATTAGGAATTCCTGTTGCAATGAATTCTTTGAAACTTCCACAGAGTGGTACCCACGTTTTAAAATCAGAATGTAAGATTCTTAAAATAACAAACTTGTGCTCTTCCAAGTCTGAGATGAAAAATTGTACCAACGTACTTAGAGATAACACTTTCCCCTTCTGGAACATTTGAACATTGTTCTATAACACACTTTAAAATGTCTTTCCTCATTCTCTCTCTCCACACACACACGCGTGCGCACACACAAGTGTGTGTACAGGGGGTTGGTGCAGGTAGAATAGCTATTTTCACAGTATGTGATTTCTTTATACTAAATTTGTCACAGGCTGAGGTAATGGGCTGGATGAGGGCCAATAAACTGAGCCTCATTCCAGATAAGATGGAAGTCCTGTTGGTGGGCAGTTCAAGTTTTCAGGTAGGTGATTTTGACCTTTGGACGGGTAGCACTCCCTCTAAAGGACAGGGTCCACAGCTTGGGAGTACTCCTTGATCTGGAGCTGTCACTGGAAATCCAGGTGGTGGCGGTGGCAAGGAGTGCTTTCCCACAGCTTCAGCTGGTCCATCAGCTCTGTCCTTTCCTGGATGAGCACTGCCTAGCAACAGTGATACATGCTCTGATAACCTCCCCGTTGGATTACTGTAACGCACTCTACGTGGGGCTGCCCTTGAAAACAGTCCAGATACTTCAGCTGGTACAGAATAGAACTGCCGGGCTGCTGACGGGAACCGGTCGTTATTCTCACATAACGCTGGTCCTCTATCAGCTCCACTGGCTTCCAGTTGAAGTCCGGGCCCAATTCAAGGTGCTGGTTTTGACCTATAAAGCCCTAAATGGCTTGGGATCAGGATACCTAAAGGAACTTCCATATATGCCCTCATGCTCCTTAAGATCTGCGAGAGAGCCCTGCTCCAGGAACCCTCCCTGAAAGAGGTAAAAAGGTCATCTACTTGGAGGAGGATCTTCCCCAATTGTGAAATGCATTCCTCAAAGAGGTTTGCCTGGCACCGAGCCTATATTCTTTTCGGCACCAAGTCAAAACCTTTTTATTCAAGCGTCATTTTAAAAATTAGTATTTTAATGGTTTTAACAGTCACTTTTGATTTAATTATTTGCATTGGTTATGTATTGCTTTATTGTGATATTGTTTTATTGGATTTGGATTTTAACGCTGTAAGCCATCCTGAGATATTATACATAAAGGACAGCATATAAAAGTTTTAAATAAATAAATAGGTAATGCTATTTAAGAAATGCAGTCAATTTTTTTTGAAGGAACAAGTCATGGGACTTCACTGCTTCTGGCACTGCAATTGAGCAGCGGATTGGTGATGCTGTGTCTGCAACAACTGCCATTGTTTGACTCGGTAGTGCAGTCACGGCCTGGAAAGGTTTTCAGTAGCAGAGAGGGCCAGTGTGGTGTAGTGGTTAAGAGCTTGGGACTGGAACTCAGACGATCTGGGTTCGAGTCCCCACTCAGCCATGGAGCCAACTGGGTGACTTTGGGCCAGTCACAGACTCTCAGCCCAACCTACCTCACAGGGTTGTTGTTGTGGGGATAAGATGGAGGAGGAGAATGATGCAAGCTGCCTTGAGCCCTTTGTAGGAAAAAGGCAGGATATAAATTGAATAAATAAATAAATAAATGGGCTAAGGGGCATCTGTACTCAGCTGTTACTGTGAGAATAGAAATTAATGATAGCAGAGCATGTCCTATAAGTTCCACTTGGCTCGCTACCTTGCCTAAAAGCATGCTTGTTGCTATGCTGCTGAAAACCATATGCATAAGTATTCAGTAAATACTTCTATGCATTTTAAACATCAAGCAACACGTGTATCCAGTGTAAGTCCTACTGCGAATAAACCTGTGAATAAGACTTAAGCTAACAGTGGAAACTACCCATTTAAAGTCCCAAATTACATAAGCGGGGCCAAGCATGCAGGTCCTTAACATAAAAATATAAGATGATACTCCCTAATGAACATATTATACTTAATGAAGGGCTACAAAAATTACCTCTCAAATAAAAATTGGTTCTGAAGACATATAGCCCTAGAGTAGGGCGTGCTGTGAATACACATGAAGAAACCACTTCACTGAAGCTAAGAAGGTTTTGGCCTGGTCAGTGCCAAACTGGTTGGAAGGGAGACCACCTGAGAATCCATGTAGCTGCCCTGAGTTCATGCAAAAGCGAGAAAGTGGCATAGTGGTGAGAGTGTTGAAGTGAGGCTTGAAAGATGCAGCTCTGAACACCCAGATGGCCAAGAGGGGATGTGCAGCCAGTCAGTAAGTCTCAGCCTAAATTTTCACATTTGAAAATGCCACTGGGCCCTTTTTTAAGAGAGACATTCAGTGCTCAGTGGTGGAGCGCACAGCCTGACCATCAACATATAAGAACTTGGCTACCTGCTACTTAGCATAGATGCCAAAGAATGTCTCAACCTTATCCTTTTACTGGCTCCCTCTACTCTCATTCCCTGCTACCACCTAGGCCAGAGGGTGTTTCACTATGTAATTGCAGGTAACTGAATTGTGTAATTTAGGTACTGTGACTCAACACAGGATCAAAACAGCTTTCTTCATTCTTCCAAACCTCATACACTTAGATCAACATCTAGATTCCTGGGGAACTCAAATGCTATTTTAATTGGTCCTAATAAAAGAATTTTTGGATGTAAAAAATGTATTGTGGTTCACCAGCTTCCTTTGCTTATTGATAGCAATAGTACTGTTGTGGTGAATTTTTGTTATGAAACACTTTTAAATAGTCTTTTAGAGGGATAGAATGGGTAGTTATTCCACAGATTTTGTTATATATTGTCATGACTTGCTTTATGCACAATGGCAATGGAAACATTATGATGGCCCTCCACTCATGCCAGAGTAAATGCCCATAATATGTGCTGGTGGACAGGCTTCCAGGAAAAGTTTAGGGCAGTGGCGCAGGTGGCACAGCAGTGATGGACAGTGTCCACTGTGTTCTGCATGCAGACGATCTCGGGTTCAATCCCTCACCTCTCTCAATTAAGAAGAAAGAGTCGAGGCAGAAATGCTAGGAAAGGCCTGCCTGAGACCTGAGACAGCCACTGTTATTCGGAGTAGGCAATCCTCGGCTAGAAAATGTGGCAGACTTTTCATAGATCAAGATTTTTCAAATTCCTGTCTTTGCCTCCTCCACCCTTTTTTCTAACAACTGTTCGGGAACGTGATATAAACTCCAGGCTCTAGCGTCCAAGGGACTCACAATCCACTGTTCACTCAAAGTAGGACTAACATTGGATACAACTGACAGCAGCAGCTTCTGATTCGTCCGGCTGCAGAAAATAAGCAAATACGTTCTCCACCCCCGCCTACTCGACTCTCCCCACTAATGATCTGCGTCGATCCTCCTCGGCGAATTCTTCTTCCAAACACTTGTCCCATCCTCCCTTAAGTCCCTCGCCCAGTGATTGGATCATTTGTTTTTCCGCCCCGAAACAGAACCTCTCCCCGGCTGCGATTGGTCTGGCCGAGCGTTCGGAGCCCGCCCCCCGCTTCCGCTTCTCCGTCTCTTAGCCAAAGGCGTCTCCCGGCCGTACGCAACCTCGCCCCGAGCCCCTCGGGCCAGGCGTGCCCGTGCAGCGCGCTGCGCCGTCCCCGCCCCGCGGTCGCGTCTCCGCCAGTGGTTGGCCAGCGTTTCCGGCAGCGTTTCCGGTGCCATATAGCAGTGCGGGCACGGGCGGTGGTTGGATTCGAGGCTGCGGCGCTGTGAACCGGCGGGATGAAGCGCGGCCCCGAGAAGCTGGGTGGGCAGCCCCGTGCCAACGGCTGCAGCCTCACCGGACACGGCTGCGGTCTGAAAAACGGCTACGTGCGAGGCTTCTCCGGGGCCGAGCCCCACAGCCAGGTGAGGAGGTCGTCGAAGCGTCTGTGTCGGCGCTGCTCCCCGAAGCCGTGCCGTCTCCGAGCGGCCTGGTCGGTCCCAGTTGCCGGTACCAGCCTCAAGGCGGGGCTCTGGGGTTGGGCCGCTGTCATCCACGTGGTGGCACTGCTGAAGGGAGGAGGACGGCCTTCAGCGACCAAGGTTTCCTCTGGTGCTTCTTTTTTTGCCGGTTTGCTTTACTTGCCTTCTTGGTGTGGATACTTGGATTCGGAGTGAGCACAGGGTCTCGCCCCTCCTCGTTCCTGCCGCCGGAGGGAGAGTAAAAACGCCTGTTCCTTCCTCTTGCTTTCCTCGTTTTCTTAAAGGCAGAAAGGCCTGGCGGGCGGCTTTCCTGCCTTCTATTTCTGTGGCTGAAAAACCCGGAATGGGATATCCCGCGATGTATGCAGATATCGCTAGGAGCACACGCCCTAAAGAACTCTCCTGGTCTAGCCCTGCCCTTTTGCGAGCCTTGTCATTTTGCACCACTCGACAAGGAAGCTGTGTTGGGAGAGTCCAGCCTCGGCCCGCAAACCTGCCTTGCAGTTTGAATAAACCGGCTGTTTATTCTCTGTGGGGCTCAAGGCCCAGAAAAGGAATCGTAATTTCTCCCACTCTCTCTCTCACCATATTGTTTATTCAGTTTATAGACCGCTTAATTCATGTCTGTGTTAGGAAAAGACACCTAGCAGCAGTTTACAAAGTAACAGTTTAAACTGGAGAATGTCCAGAAGGACACATTTCAACATATCTTGGCTAAAAAGAGGGAGTTCCCCACCCCATGGTTCAAACCATTCTCAAGTGAACATTCCTAATTGCCAAACTAATAGTTTTTTAAAAGGGCAGTACAGTTTGTTAAGGAAGACCTGGAGGGAAAGATAAATCTTTAACAGGTGCCTAAAAACACTACAATTGGTGCCTTGTGCATACCAAGCAGGATGGCATTTCACAAGGTAGGTGCCATTGCAGAGAAGATCCATCCCTAGATTGCTGCTGGATGGCAATCTGCACATTACAGCATATTTTTATATTGTTAAATTGAAAAGGGGCATAAGGGACAAGTCCACTTACCCGCACATCAAAATGGCCTTATTTTCTGAGCTGCATATTTAGATTAAGAAAACCTGGGGAAAGATAGAGGATTGCTGTTGTCCTCAACTATAGGGGTGTAGGATAGTGATAAGATACTGTGGGCTTGATAAACTACAGAGTCAGGTGGCAATCTTCCACTATGGCTAGACATTATTGTCAGATACCACCTAATAAACTCGGCTTCACAGTATGTCTTGACCCTCATATTCTTTCCATAGTTTAGATGGGATGTTGTCTCAGGATGCGACCTTTGACCTGGCATGTGTATGTGTGGTTTTGCATAAGCTAAAAAGTGACACTTTCCATTTCCAGAGTAGATTACAATTTTACACTGTTTAGAACAAGGGGTGGGGGCAATCCCAGTTTACTGGGAGCAGAAGTCATTTCTGGAAATGTTGCCTTATCTATAAATGTTGTTTAGTAGATTTACTGCTTTGTTTAGTTGTAAAGTTGTGCCTGACCCATCACGACCCCATGGACAACATTTACTGCTTATAATATCTTAAAATGTGCTGGCCATTATTGTAACTGTTTTGATTGGGGTTTTGTATATCTTGGTGCTTATAAGCTGCCCCCCCGCAACATAGTCTAAACCTATGCATATATAATTAGAAGTACATCCTTGAGTTTAATGTTCTTCAGTCCTTTATATGTTTTCTAGCAGTTTGTTTTGTTTGAGTAAACACAGTCCTTAACAGCATATTTTAAAAGAGCCTTGTGTTCACCATGGTGGTTCTTTTCTCCTGCCTACAGCAGTAAATTATCTGGCAGTGTTTACTGGGTGGAGGTTTGCATGCCAGGAGTTATTCTAGGAGTTTTCAGATGCATGTGTGGTAGGCTTTCCTGGAGGCCCTTACTCAGTAGAAAGTAGAACTCCAAATTGCTCTCCCTTTTAGGAGATTGAGATGCTTTCAATCTCAGCAGGTGCTGCTTAAATGTACAAGGAGCAATACTGGCTTCAAGGCTTCATTAGAGATCTTTTTTTCTAGTAGGCTGCATGTAAAGGATACACGTGCTTAGAAATACTTGATCCTTCAGTCATAACCTCATAGTTCTATCTTCAGTTAACTGGGATGGGGTCTGTTGACTATTGATCCTACAGCAACTCAGTGCTTTGAATACATATTTGGTTAGAGATCATTCAGGCTAGCATTTTCTGGGAGTAAGCATCTTCAAACACAGGGAAATTAATTCTGAGTAAATATATGTTTGAGGGGGTGCTGAAAAGTTCTAGGCCCAACCAAGAAGGGAATGACCTAGAGTCATGAAACTTACATGCTATTCCATGTATTCACTCTGAAGTTCAACACACTTGGCACATCATTGAAAAAAAAAAGATGTCTGGTTACTGAAATACTGCTCTGCTGCTGCTATCACCTCCAAATCATATGGAAGTTTCCTCCCTTTCAAGCTCTTTTTAAGGTTTGGAAACAGGAAATAGTCAGGTGGTGCATGATCTGGTGAGTAGGGTGGATGGTCTATGTACTAAACCCCCAAATTCTTCAGATCATGCATCATCTTGCCAGCCTTGCGAGCAGGTGCATTGTCCTGCAAAAAGAACACCACCTTTCCATAGCATCTTTCAATGCATCCCTCAGTCAGCAAGGCAAGATAAGAGTAGTATCCTGCATTAACTGTTTGACCCTTCTGAAGATAGGCATCAAATTACCTTTCTCATACCAAGAGATCATGGTCATGACCTTTACTGCTGACTTTTCGGTCCTGAATTTCTTCGGTTGTGGAGAACCTGAGCGCCACTGCAAGGACTGTTGTTTGGTTTCCCAATCATAGTGGTATAACCATGTTTCATCAAGAGTGATGAGTTGTTCCAAAAAATATCACTAGATCACTCAAAATGCTTTAAAATCAACTTGGAGATGTCCATTTGATTTAGTTTCTCATTGGCATTCAAACATTTCAGTACCCACTTGACTGACAGCTTCACTATACCCAACTGCTCATGAATTATAAACTCAACACATTCTCTGGATATCTCTAGTGTCTCAGCAATTGTTTCAGTCAAAATCTGTCAAAATCTGGTAATGAACATGATCAACAATTTCAGGAGTTGACACTGTCGAAGGCCTCCTAGATCTTGCTGCATCTTTGGTCTCAAAATCTTCACACCGAAGGTTGGCACACCACTTCTTCACAGTTGAGTTTCATACTTGTCTCTCAAAATTTGTATCATATACTCATGGATTGCCTTTGGAATTTTCTTCTTCAGGAACTTCATGACGGCTCAGAGTTCAACATTTGAAAATTCCACACTTTTCATTGGCATGGTTCTGTCAATGATCTGAAAAAAATAAATCAGTGCTATGATTCTGCAAATTGGCACTTTACAATATAAAATAACACTCCTTCCAGCTACAGTGACAAAGTAACACTCAGGTTTTGGAAAGTGGGTTGGGCTGAAAGCTTTTCAGCACTCCCTCATAATATTGTTTGACAGTGCTGTTTTCTGAGCATGCAAGTTTCAGGTATCTCTTTTGCATTTATTACTACCAATTTTTCATGTGCAAAACACTTCTATTGTGTATGGCCTCTGCTTTACTCTTGGATGCAGTAGTTTTAATTTGGATGAAAGGATGTTGAAAGAATAAGCATCCATGTAGACATCAAATAAGCAAAGCAACTGTTTGTATAGAGATACTTGGGGGTGTTTACATGTCGTACTAATTCACCCGAGCAATAAGCTACGGTGAGTTGGTTGTTGGCCAAACAATGCACAATGTGCTTAACCGAGGATTGGGCACAATGTAGGTTGTTTACCCTCTCAGTTCCTCTGTGTCCTTCTTGGTTCTGTCAAGGATATTCCAGGGGACTTCATGGCAGGACCAGCTTGGCTGCTTCCCACCCCTATGGTCATGAGCCCATTTTTTGATTGTGAATTGCTGCAAGAAGGTGATGTCCTCTATCCCAACACCCTGAATAATCCCAGCCTTCAAATGACCCAAGTACTAAATTCTACTTGTACCTTAGCATTTATTGTTCATATGAAATCAGCAGCGGGCATCTTGTGGCCCTGCAGATATTTTGGCCTACAGCTTTCATCATGTTAATGTATTGGCTATGCTGCTTGGGACTGATGAGAATTGCAGGACAAAGCATCTGGAGGGATAGTCCCAAATCTGTGCTTTTTGGTCCTTACTCAAAAAAAAAAACAAAAACAAAAGGTTCTGTGATTGACTAACTGGGGCACATATATTCCCCTACATCTGCAAGTTTATCATCAATGCTAGGCAACTCAGGCTAAAGACATTAGTATTCAGTGCAGTGACCTATAGTTTCTCAAACATGAGCTAGTCAAATATTAACTTTACAAGGCCTCCTACTCAAAACCTGCTGGGTAAAAGACAGCAAAAGTCTTACTTAGAGCATGTTCAAATTAGTCATTATTAACTTCAGTGCAATTTATTTACATGGGTATGTTCTACTTTAGCTTTTACTATTTGATCTGAGATTCTTTGCAAATAAAAGGCTTTGTTTTATTTGAAAAATGTGGTTAGAGAATAGACCAAAAAGTTATAATGATGCCCCCAAATCTACTTTCAGCCCAAACTTGCACATAAAAGACAAGCTGTTACAGAAGAGGCTGAAATGGCTGTTTGACCAATAAATCAGATCCATGACAAGAGACCCAAAAAATGGTAAATCTATCCTGGACAGGAGTAGAAAGCAAGTAGCTTAGCAATCTGCAGCATATATTGTATTTTTTATGAGTTGTCAATACTGTATGTTTTGATGTGTGAAAATTGTTAGCCATTTTTATTGTTTTCTTTGAAACGGTGGAATGTAAGTGTGTGGGCGATACACACAGTCTGCCTATAGCTTGTGTTTGAACTGAAATTGATACTCACTACATTGTTTTCAAAATGAGCTTGTTTGCAATATTTCAAATTGAATTCAGGAAGGGATGCCTTACAAAGAATTTTTAAAATTCCTGAGTTCATGACTAAATGTTTCTTTGGGAAACTACTGTAAACTATGAAAGGGGGGAAAACACTGAGGGATATTAAACTACATTGACAAAGCTGAGTGAACTGTGGATTAAGCATTAATGCTGAGCTTTAACTTTGGTTATATGTTGATTTATTAAAATTGTTCAAGTCATATTTAGAGTGCTGCCTCAAAGAATATAAATATAACAGAGTACATCTTAATAACATAACAATATACTCTCATGCAAAATATGGTAAATCCAGATTTATTTATTTGAATTATACCCCTCCTTTATAAAAAGAAAAATGGCACTCCCAGTGGTTTCATACCAAATTCCATGGTTTTAGAGCAAATCAGTTACACACAACTCTGGCTCCCACTTAACATATAGTTCTAGTGGAGGTACCTTCTTGTACTGCAGGTGTCATGGTTCAGTATGGTACATAAAGATCAGTTGGTTGCCTACACATTTTTTAGATGAATAATAATACTCCATATATGGATCATCCAAATGTGTTCACCTGTGATGGCTCTGTGCTCAGAAGTTTTCTGTCACCATGCAGAGGACTCTTGAGTTGAATAAGGCATTGATAACATCGCTCTAGGGAGAGCTCTTGGCAACCCCCACATGGCTTGCATGTCCAAGATGTTCTCTCTCATCTCAGCCTTCAAGGGTGGGTCTCTTAAAATTTCTCATTTGCCTTAGCCACGTAGGAGCATTGGTTTTAAGCATGCTTAAAACTGAGCATGTTTAAGATTTACATTTAGGATGCAGCTGAGATACCTTTTTCTATCAAATGTATTTTGGGCTACTAGAGAGTATTCTTGCCTTGGCTGATGTAATTTGTGTAGACCAGAGCCTGTGTGAACGGTCAAGTGACCAGCAGCTTTCCTAACCCAGCCAGAATGCCTGCCATTCTTTCAGGCTCTTGAGTTAGATTTATGCATGCTTACTATTTAATTATGTGACCATGAAGAGGATAACACTACCATCGCACCCAGTCTTCAGATCTTCTGTTTCCAGAGCTTGAAAGCTCTTATGCCGTTTGACCACGGTCTGTCAGGCAGCCTGGCTAGTGTGCAGTAGCAGTAGCAGTAGCACTGTATTGTGTGCTTCAGTTTAGAGGCTCTTGGTATGGTTGACAAAACAAAAGCCATTAAAACACTAAAATGGCACAGTAAAATAGAAGAGCAGCAAAATAAAGTAGTACTAGAAATAGTAACTTGAGGTAACATCACTCATTTTAAACCCATGGCACTAGAATGGTTTTCAGTCTGGGAGTGAACATTCTAGAAAGACATTACTCCCCATGGAGGCACCTCATCTTGAGTTACCATCTGCTTCACCTTTAAAGGCAGAGAAGATCTAAAGAAAGACCTGACATCAGGGCAAATTCATGTGGGAGAAAGCAGTCCTTTTGGTCCCATGGTGTTTAGGGCTTTAAAAGTCAGGACAAACACTGCATTAGCACTATCTAGGCTAGCAGTGGTCCACCAGTGATGTCTAGCAATGTCTTGAGTATTGCATAGCAGGTCAATGACCAGACTTGTGATACAGTGAAAAGTATTCCTTTTGCTGTATCCTTTTAACAGGCTACTTATTAACTACTGCTCATGCAAGCAAGAATGTATTTTGCTTGTATTGAAAATTAGAAAGTCTGTGGAGATTAAGTAATACTGTTAGTAGTGTGCCTTGTGGCTGCTGAAGAACTTGATATGAAGCTTGTGGGAAATTGACAACTGTTATACACTGTCCAGAAAGCTTCAGCTATGAGGGTGGTACAGAAATTAAGTCATATCACATTGCTTTTATCTCTAATATTTTTCTTCTAGATTCATCACATTGCCCACAATGGAGGCTTATATACAAGACCTTTCAATGAAGCTTTTGAGGAAACACCAATGTTGGTTGCTGTACTGACTTATGTAGGCTATGGTGTCCTTACTCTTTTTGGATATCTCCGGGACTTTCTGCGTTATTGGAAAATTGAGAAATGTCATAATGCAGCAGAAAGACAAGAACAAAAGGTACTTGCATTTGTTTGTTTGTCTGTTATTCCGTTCCATTCCATTCCATTAATCCCATATCCCTACGGTTCCCTGGGCAGCTTACAAATGCTGAATAGTTGAACCTATTTATTTATTCTTGATTTTATTTGTATGCCTTTCTACCAAAAAAGGCACTCAAGGTGACTTGAGTGCCATTCTGTTTGCAGGAATGGGGATGCAACTCTCATCATTAGTTAAAATTGCTAATTGTCTTTCTTCTGAGCTTATTTTTTTTATTTGACATTGACCTGGTTCATACATACTGTGAGCTGCTTCGGCTCATAATATCAGCTGATTCTAATTGTAAAGAACTTCTAGTGGGCCTGATCAGCGGTTGGAAGAAGGAGTGAACGTAATAGCACTGGTTTGTTTAACTCCTAGTTGACAGCAAAACTGTGGCTTATGAGACATTCTTCTTCCTCCCCTGATAGCATCTGATACTGTTCTAAACCAGACTGCATGGCCATCTGCTGGCAAAACATCACATACTCTTAACATTGGCCAGTAGCTGAGGTGGGATGGGGAAGCAGAACACTGCTCTCTGTGGGCCGCTTTCAGCATGCCTAAAGACAAAGAGCATTCCTGTACATAATTCCCCTCTGTCTGCTGTAGTCATCTAAGAAATCTCTTTTTTTCTTTTCTCCCCCTCCTCTGCCACATAGCTAGAATTAGTTAACATATCAATGGTGATCTATTAATTTCAATTTCATAAGTTCTTTTAATGTAATTGACATGTAGCTCCATGGGTAAGTAAGTTGGGGCAAGGACTTAAAGTTTATACTGCTAATAAGCAATATGTGAAATAGTATGCCTCAGATGTCTAAATGTCCCTCATGCAAGCTAATTTCCTACTTAAGTTCTCATATTTAAAGGCTTTTTATTTAATTTTGAGTACAGTAATTAATTTTTCTCATGTCAGCTCTAGATATAGCTTAACATTTTACTTCTGAGCTAAGATTTTCAGTCCAGTGTCTTGCATATCTGATAAAGATGGAACTTGAAACTGACAACAATGGCATCTGCTCACTTCATTATACCCCAGTAGTTTTAAGACTTTTATGAGATTCTAAATTCCAGGTTCCTCCCACCCCACACATACAAGTGGTAGTTCCCTGCATGTGATATTCAAGCTTGTTGAGAGTCTGAGTGCATCCTTGAAGCTTGATTTGCTTTATTTTCCCAAACACAGGTGTCTTTTTTCCATTTGAGAAACATGTACATTTTTAAATGTGCACATCTAAAATGTACATTTGCTCCAATAGGGCTGGTGAGAAGGAATTAAATTCCCACCATCACCTTAAATCTTTGCTAATGCAAGTAGGCAGGGGTTAGGACATGATGGTTTCTCTCACATAGTATTATTTTCCCTATTTTCATTCATAGTTTGAAAAAAAAAGTTCTATAGAGGGTACAGTTAAAATTACTCAAATCACAGGCATTGGTTTCTTTTCATTTACATCATTAAAAGGTTCTAAGTCTATTTTCTAATTGAAGAGTGTTTTAACCTAATACTACATAAACTGCTGCTTCATTTCTGTGTTGGGTCTAATTTGAACAAGCTGAACTTGAAGTAGATTAGTGCGGTCCACTGATACCAATGAAGTAACAATTTAGACCAAAACAGATGGACTTGGTCATAGGCAGTACAGTTCTAGATTACTGGGTAATGCAGCCCTTGAATGGTCCATTCTGAATGCATCATAAGCATTTCCTTTCATTTAAATTTGTATTGGAATGGTGGGATAAGATACTAGCATTTGTTGCTTCCTGGGATCATAGTAGTAGAATGCATTAGTAAAGGAATGATTGCTGCATATTTATACCAAGTGCTTGTGCAACCTGATTTGTTTTTTTGCTGCTGAAGAATTGGCTTTTCCCTTATGCTTGAAAATGGCATTTGAACCTTTTAACGTTTGTCCAAAGGGAATGGATGGAATGGAAGTGGTTGTTTCAAGACTTTAGAGCTCAAGCCTTGACCCCGTGATAATCTGTGCATCTTTTTTCATTAGAATCAACCTTTTTTTGCCAGTCTGTTTTTGCTTGCTCAAGAACTCTGTCATCAAAATCAACTCTTTTGTAGGTGATTCACTCTCTGTTTAAGTCATAACATATAGTCCATACTTATTGGCATCCTCTTTACAAGTTACTGGAGTTTCCCTTTGGCTTGTACACATTTTTCTTATTGGCACCTGCTTGGTCTGTTGGATCTTCCCTCCTTGGTTGGTCTGAGAGTCAGTGTACAGGTCTGTGTCTACTTTTGGCCTCTCCTGAAGGTTGGAGTCTTCCTTAGGACTCCAGAAACAGGAGGCCCAAGGATTATAAATGGCATCTTAATCTCAGATAATGGAAAGAATGAAATTTGTGCTTGCCCTTGAAGGTGTAGATATCCCATTTTTCCTAGGCACTGATGCTTAAGAATAAGCTAATTATAGTATTATTAGTAAGACTTATAAGCTTTCTTTTTGTGAAATAAATTGCAAAGAACTGGCATCAAGAAACAACAGCAATTCTGAGCCAAGTGTCTGGGAATTACAGTTCTAACAGCAGATATCCCCCCCACCCCTTCCAGTTTACTCTCCTTCTCCTCCTTCTGGACATATCTGCAAAATGCTAGCTCTACTGGTGGTATCACAGTGGAACATTTCTATCAGCTCTTGTTGGGGTATGTGTATGGGCTTCATTTCAGGGCAGCTCCTGGCAAGGATTGCTAGGAGGTGGCATAGCCTGCTGTCTCTGCCTCCAAGGTCTGGTGTTAGTATGCTTTGTGACTCTATCATTGTTCTTGGATGCTAAAAGGCACTTAATAGAGCTATGCATAATAAAGATAGTCCTCTGGGACAGAGATACAGATCACTAGTTGTCAAAATAATCTGCTAGATCCATGGCATTGTAGTTTAGTGGTCCCTGGTCTTTTAGACCCATGAGCACATTTGGGAATTTGAGCAACTGCTGTGGAGATCACAAAATGACTCCCATGGAAGATGTGTCTAGTTACATAATGGCTTCCATGGGAACTGGCTAGTCAAAGGTAGCTAAAGAGGTTTTGGTGGGAAGAGAAACAGAAAAGCTAGAGTCTGGAAAGGAGGGGAAACATTGAGGGAGAAAATAGCAAAGTTAGAAGCTGGGAGCAGGAAATGAAAGCAAAGAGGTAGAGAGGAGAGAAAAAGCAAGGCTAGAAGCTGGTAATTGAGAGACTACAGCTAGGGGTGGGGAAATGACAGAAACAATAAAGAAGCAGGGGGAGAGAGCAAGACAGAGCCAGGAAGGAAATCCTTCTCTGTTTGCCTGCTATGCAGCAAGAACAGGAAGGAGAAACTTGCAGCTTAATATCATTCAAGGTTTTTATTTAAAAATCATTTTGAAGAGTGCTGGGAGTAAATAGCTTCATGGGCACCATTGGAGGGCTCCACAGGCACCATGACACTTTTGCACACTGTGTTGGGGACCCCTGTTGTTGCTGGTGCCCATGCTCTTTGTTTCACCTTGGCATGCCTGGGCAAATTTGTTGCGTATGTTTGCCCTCACATATTGGCATTATTCACTGTTATCAATAGTGGCAGCTAAAGCAACCTGTTTTCTGTGTGAATTGCAGCAAAACCCATAAACTTTGAGCTTTTTATAAAAATGTTTCCTTGACTCTTCCAGTGCAATCCCATAGATATCTACTGGGAAGTAAACTGCATTGACAGTTTCACTTAGAGGTGTACTCACTTTTGCTGCCAGCGGTTTAGACATTAATGGCTGTGTGTGGAGTTATTTTGAGGGGACAGCAAATTTACACTGTTATACAAGCTGTATACTCACTACTTTACATTGTAGCAAAGTGTCATTTCTTCAGGGTTGTCACATGAAAAGATATAATAAAATATTTACAAAATGTGAGGGGTGTACTCCTGTGATATACTGTAGGTAATGTAGGAGTGCATCCTTCATATTTGAACAAACTTTATTATAAGGTTGGAGAAGTTTCTATTCTGATAAGTTAAAATACCAGTGTTTTATGCAACTTGCAAAAGAAAGAAATTAAATGAATTAATGTTTGGGAAAGCTGTTTTGAAGTGTTGGCTGCCTCTAAGAGATTTGTTAATTGACACTTCAATAAATGTCACTATGAGACACATCAAGGAACCTTATTTTAGGGTGCTTAAAGTATTAATTCTTATTTGACCCTGTTGAAAGAGGTCAGTGCGTATTTGTCATGTATTTAAAACTTGTGTAGAAAACCAGTGGAAACGAATTGTAGAGTAGATGAAAGGTGTGTTCAGCTGCTAAGAATTACTGTAATAAGTCAGTATTTTCCATACATATTATGAATGAAAGGAATACTCAATTACCTGCTAGGCTGACTTACTTCCTGGGTAATAGGCTAGTCTCAGAACTTTGTCAGTAGCCTGATTTCTTACAGGCAGAAGTGGTTGCACAGTAAAGAAACATCTAAGTGGTAAATGGTACAGTGTTAGAACTAAATGGTATGCCTGCAGTCCTCCAGTCATCAAGGGCTACTAGGTCTTCCAGGTTATAAAACAGAGTTGCTTAATTGTATATGCATCTGACCACAACTGAGATGCATGCATCATTGAAAGAGGGAGAAGCAGGACAGCAGTTATCAGGTTAGCTTGTTTGTATGTATGAATCTTTATTCAGTTTTAAAAATTGCAGTCACATGAAGGGCGTGCGCTTTTTGCATAGGGGTGGCACAGCTAATTCTGCTGCTGTTTCACATGGAGTGGCTTTTCCTCCCATGGTTTGTGCTCTTATACAGAAATGCATTGCTTTCAGTGTTTGATAGGTGAATATGCTTCAATTTTAAGAGATAAAATAAAAATATAATTAAGGTTTCATTAAAGATTAAGAGAATCAAATTAAAAATGTAAAATCCTCTTTTTAAATAAAAACAGCAACAGAACTTCAGTTATCCTCCCTGGAAGGAGTTGAAGGTAACTGGAATATTGAAGAGTGGCACTGTTTTCACTCACTGCCAGTGCCCTTCAGCTATGTAATTAGTTCCTTTAATAGACCTGTGAAATTAAGATCTGGGTTTCTAAGAGCTACACACCACCTTGGATCACAGAAAAAGAAAGGAGTTGAGTCATGGGCCCTTGAGTATCACAAGCCCAGATACTTTTAGTTTGTGTTACTGGGGATGGAAGTGCACTTGGGAGTCTGGTGCATATCAATATGGCTTCTCCAGTGAGGCTTCTAGATTAAGTGTAGGCATGGTTTGGAACTTTTGGCGACTTTTATAGATAGGAAAATATGCAGTAGCACTGCATAGAAAAATGGTGTTAAATATTCTCTCTCTCTCTCTCTCTCTCTCTCTCTCTCTCTCTCTCTCTCTCTCGTTGAGGTATCATTAGTTTGACTTTACACATTATTTTAATGCCATCTTATATTTTCAGGACTTTGTTCCTCTGTACCAGGATTTTGAGAACTTTTATACAAGGAATCTCTACATGCGCATTAGGGATAGCTGGAACAGACCTCTCTGCAGTGCTCCAGGAGCTAAAATAGACATCCTGGAGCGTGTTAGTCATGACTACAATTGGACATTCACGTGAGTAAAAGATTCTTAAAAGCATCAAGTTTCTAAAAGCATCAGGTGAGATGGGCAGGAATGCAGGCCTGCCATACCCAGAGCCACTGATTCTTGAGTTCCTGCCTAGGCTTGCCCCAAACTAATTTCTGCCATGCATTCTCTGAAGCTTTGTGATCTATGGACACTCCAGTCTTATACTTGTTTATAAAATTTTATGCTGGAAACTCTTTGACTATGGAAGATAAGATATGGTGTATCTTCAAGCCTGGTTTTCTATGTGATGGATTCTAACTAATTCTACGGTTTCCGCCTTAGGTAAAGGCCAATACTGGAGAAGTTAAAAATAAACTTTGCCATACTTTCTTGTTGAGATAAAGTTATTCTGGGAGTGATTGCCTTGGTTAGAACAGGGTAAAATGCTGTAAACAATGCAAATATTAAACTTAAGATGGTAGGGTGTCTATGTACTTGGATTTGAAATTATTTATACGTGCTCTAGTATATCTGTTACCTGTAATTGATTTGTAAATTTTTAATAGGAGTTACAGGAAGTAAACATGAAATTAAAAGCAAGTGCTAGAAATGGTTTTGCGTTAGGACAAAACTACTTTAGCAGAGTTGTTACCTATTGACATTATGCTGGTTCATACATTACAGCAGCAATTCCTGGGTTAAAGAATTTCATGCATGAACCATGCTTGTAATTTCCCCTTCTAATTAACAACTCAGGAATAGTTGTTTGTGGCATGCAAACCTAGAAATTCAAGCAACAACTCATGAGCAACTGTTGCATTAAGTCTGGGTTGTTTAAACCAGAAACAGTTAAGAGTTTCCAAGTTTGCATATCATGAACATTACAGGAATGGGATATTCCCCTATTGTTAATTAAAAGAAGAAATGACAAATTGCTGCCATGATGTGCAAAACAGGTCAGGAGTACAGTTAACACCTTTAGGAACAAAGTAGCTTTTGTCCTTTTGCTTATTGCAGCACTTTACTGGTTTCCTGATGAACTTCCTTTGTGTGCCTGGAGGTTATTCTTCTTGAGGAAATAACAGATATTTTATGTATAAAGTTGTTTGGACAGAGGTAGAAGAGGGAAGGGTTGAAATTACCAAAAGAAATAGCAAGCTGTTTTCAGATGCTTTCAGTAATGTGCTTGAATTCTTAAGAGAGCTTTCAAAGAACATCTGGTAATCCATAATAGGACATATTTTACATATTTTGTTTGAATAAGGCTAATCATGTTGGAAGATGCAGAAAAGCTTTTGTTTGTGATCCTCTGCTATAATGAAAGAAGCCTTGCTGAGTTGACCAAACTTGAAACAGAAAGCACCAATTTTACATACCCTTTTGTTTTGGCTACTTAGCATGTGAAATCTTTAACAACCTTTGGACACAGTCCATCCAATACATTGTAAACGGTGGGGATTTGATATTGTTCTTGATGGCTTCCCCTGTGCACCATGAATCAAGGTGGCTTTGAAGTTCCTGGGAATGTTCAAAGCAGTCTGTGATGTAGCATGGAGCTGAAAGCTCTGCATACAAATACTTCATTCATAAAGGCACTCAACTGTAGCCTTTGAAAGTTGCTGTCATACTTGATATTGCTGAAGTTATTCATATTTTAACATATTTTGGTTTTATAATGTGTGTGTTATGCAGGTACACAGGAAAAGTAATAAAAGATGTAATTAATATGGGGTCGTACAACTACCTTGGATTTGCTGAGAATACTGGAGCTTGCCATGATGCAGTGTCCAAAGTTCTCCTTCAGTATGGAACTGGGGTGTGCAGTACAAGGCAAGAGATGGGTAAGTTAAAACAAGAGATGGTTCTGAAGTATGTACAATTAACCAGACTTCACAAAATATTATACTGCAGTTTTGGCCCTAAAGATGTGCTGATTCTCCACTCAGATTGTGTTTACCCCAACACTTAAGCTACTTATTAATGGAATCTCTTATACAAACAAAGTGATTTTGCATCCATGTTGAATTTACTTCTTAATCTTACTTTCAGGAAATTTGGAAAAACATGAGGAGCTGGAAACATTACTAGCTCGATTCCTTGGTGTGGAGTCTGCTTTGGTATTTGGAATGGGGTTTGCAACCAATTCAATGAACATTCCTGCATTAGTTGGCAAGGTATGGACACTTAAAAAAAAATTCATCTGATCTTTTCTTTACAAGCTCTGATGGTATCCCTTCCTCTGTTCTGTATGTCTTTCCAATGTATCATGTACCTAGGAGCATAATAAGCTGCTTTATACTTAGTTAGATAATTGGTCCATCCAGCTCAATAATAAAATAAATTGTTACCTAAAATGTATAATTGCCTGGATCAGATAAAAACTCTGTTCTTAAAAACATCTGTTTGGAAAGGATCTGATAATCCAGTACATAGTCATGCTTCTATTTTCTTCTTTTGCACTTCATCACATGACTTGTTCCTCTTCCATTATATCTAATAAAACATACTATATTACTTCAAGTGGGTAACCAATGTGTGGTTGCGGAATAAACTGCAAAACATATAGGTAAATATGCTACAGAGAGTGTGTGTAGATAGATGCTATCTCTTTGGATGTTCCAAAGCTGAAATAGCCAGTGCTCATTCTTGTGTCTTTCAAACAACCTTTTTTGTTTTTGTATAAAGAAATGGGGGGGGGGGAATAATTGCATTCATTCTAACATTTATTCTTTAGTGACTTCAGAATGTTTTCTTGTTTGTAAAGTTCATAACAAATGTGCATTGGCTAGCTATAAGACTAGGTTTTTGTTCTTGTTTATTGCCCTTTTTACTTTCCTAGACTACAAACCAAGATAAACAATCTATGTTCCTTTTTGTAATGCTACTTATCCATCATTGCAAAGACCTCCCCATCTTATGAAAGTGAGATATGCTTTATATAAACATGATGTAAAATTAATGTGTGTTGAAAGTCTGTCCTCCAACTTATTTGAATGTTATCTCATTGTAGAACAAATTACACTAAATTAATCTCATACTTTTGTTAAAGATTATTGTCTTAAGTTAGCTTCTTGTTGAGAATTCAAAAATGTACTCTTTCTACTGATCTTTCCATGCAAGCTGGAGAAATAGGGAGACCAAGCAGCACAGTACAGGAAGCAGAGAGCATTCCCCTGTGTCAGTGCATCAAAATGGCTGCAGATATTGTTCTGTGTAGTCTTGCAACAACAGCAATTACTATTAGGCATTGTGGCCAGCCAAGAAAACTAGAGACTGGCATAAAAAGATCCTGGACAGGTCAACGCACTCTTAATTTTTTCACCCCACAAGCAGTTTTCTTGCTACAGGTCAATGGTTGGTTGCAATTTTCTTTATGGAGTTCCTGATTTTTCCTTGTTCAGGGCTGTCTAATACTGAGTGATGAGTTGAATCATGCATCTCTAGTACTAGGAGCAAGACTTTCAGGAGCAACAATTCGTATCTTCAAACATAACAGTGAGTACTTCCAAGCAGGTTGATTCATATACAGTTATGCTCTGTGAAGTTAACTGGTCAGCTTCAGACAGGGCTGAATTAAGCTTTAACTATAGTATTTTATTCTCCAAAAGAAGTAGCCATAAGACATTGCCTTAAACATCAGGATAAGAAGAGCATCAACTGTTTTGCACCTCCTCAGTAAGCCAGCTTAAACAAGCCATACTTAAAAAGATGTGGTGGCATCCAAAATCACAAAACAGTTTTTTGCTGAATAAAATGTAAGAAACTCCACTGACCCTTTTGATATGGATGCCAATGGAGCAATCCATTGTTTGGGCCAGTTTGGTCAATCTAACTCACTGTTCTAATCTTGCACAAGACTGTGTTATGTTTAGTCCCAGGTAATAAATATTTATGACCCTGAATTGTGGATTGATGCATCTGATCAACCTTAATATCTAATAAAGGAGATAACTCTGAAGCTGCAAACGTAGCAGGATCAAACCTAGATTTTAGCAAATGTTTCAACTGCAAATATTACCAGTCAATCATAGATGACAAGTCATATTTAGCATGCAAAGAAGAAAATCGCAAAAAAAGTCACTTACTAGCAAATCTACAGCATAATAAAAAGTGGCATATCTATCCAAGTCCAACATTTTCTTATCAATTTGTAAATATGGTTTTCCTGGTACACTTAAGTGCACATGACTAGTAGTCTTGTTCTATATAGATTTGTCTGTCCTCCTTTAAAGTAACCAATCATCACCACATCTTGTGGGAGTTACTTCTTTCGCTTTAACTATGTGCACTGTGAATCTCTCAACTTCATTGGATAACTTCAGCTTATTGTATAAGTAGAAAACTTCATCTACTTTTTCTACAACATTCATGATTCTATACATCTCTGTGTTCCATCCCCCATTATTAGCCTTTCCCCCGCCCCTAAACTGAAAACTCCAACCTTTTCTCCTAGGTAGTTACACTGATTCCTTGATCACTGTGGTTGCTTTTTTTCTCCATTTTTCCAGCTTTATATTATTGCTTTTCAGGAGCAGCAGTCAGAACTGCACACAGCATTCTAATGTATTTGTAGCATTTTTTATTCTTTTCCTAAAGTTGGATCCACTCTTTGTGCAAGCAGAGGTCTGCTCACACAAGCAGAGTTCTTGCCATCCACTGCACCTCTCCCCTTCCACACTGCATTCTCCAACTTTTCTCCAAAGCTCCCAACCCTCTGGAGCATATTTAGGGGTTGGGTACAAGGTGCATCAGATGAGGGAAAAATCTGTTCTGCCAATGATTCTCTCCTCCTGCTGAAACAGCATTGGTTGCAACTCTCAATCACCCCCAATGTAGAATTCACCTTGGTAAAGCTATTACATTCAGGGTCAATGTTTTCATTGAACTGTACACCATGATAACAAGAAGTCTTTCCTGGCTACCCACTGCCCACTCAGATTCCATTCACTTATATGCAAAGTTAAGATTTTTTCCTCACTTTATACTTACTTACTTTGAACTATACATGCCCATTTAATGTGTGTTCACCAATTCTAGAGAAAGTCCTTTAGAGTTGTTTCCCATCTTTTTTAAAGCATCCTGAATGATTTGGTATAATAAGCAAATTTGGCCAGCTGACTCCTCACCCTTAGTTTTTGGTCATGTGTAAACAAGTTAGAACACACCAGAACAAATACACATCTTTGCCTACTTGTGCCTGGTCACCATCTGGATAATTGGAACATTTTCACTCTTCTAGTCATGATTCAGCCCAAATAAGATATTGCCCTGCTCCTGTTGACTTTCCTCTGTTGGTTAAATTAAAAAAAGTGCCATGCAACTCTTTATTGTATCATCCTTTTCTGCATCTTACCACATTTGCCTAAATCCAGTCTTCAGTTGTTCTGGAATTGTCAAATGTCTGTCCAAATCTGAAAATATATAAATTACAAATGTCAAAATAGGATTTTGCTAATGGTGGTCATAGTCTCTTTGTATTCACTGTTAGAGTATCCAAATGAGAACATATGGCCTTCTGAGTTACTGTTCAATTTAAATATAGGCTATAGTAATTTGTTGCAGCTGTTATTTTTAGTAGCTTTCCAAAATAATAAGTTACCTGAAATCATGTCTTCTTTGTGCATAGATATGCAGAGCTTGGAGAAGCTGCTCAAAGATGCCATTGTGTATGGGCAACCTCGCACACACAGACCCTGGAAAAAAATTCTCATCATTGTTGAAGGCATATACAGGTACAAGTCTAGTCCTCACAGTGCCATATTCAACTGTCACTGGGATCTATGCTGAGGCATAATGCAAAAAGACATAAGACTCTTGGTACTTGACCCTGACCATTCTCATTATTTTAATCACATTTAGCAATAAAGTGCTCCAAGTACATGTGTGCACACATATTCTTTTGTTAACCATAAGCTAATTCAGCATCAGCACGATGGTTCATATGGCCATACCCTAATAAAGGATTCTTTGCTTTTGATAACCACTTTTAGTGTTCCCCTCTGGTCTTGGAAAGCTAACACCCACTCAGTGTATTGCTAGAGGCATGAATTTAAAAAGTAACAATGCTGCTGAGCTTAAATTAATAAACAGTATTGACTTTGGCTAATATAGCTGCTATACTGGTGTTCCAAATAACTCCTTCAAAAGGATGAGATAGCACACCCAGTTTGTGCTAGGGTGCTAGGAAAAGCTGTGCCTGTGTGCCCTTACTGTTTCTCAGTTTAGAGGTTGGATAGGAGGCTGCAAGCAGGCACACTGTTTCCAAACACCCTAGTACAAATACTGGATGAGGCTCTGGTGTAAGGACCTCTTATTTAGCCTTTTCTGAAAACATTGGAAAATTGGGTATGCTATCTCACCTTTTGAAGGGGTTATGTGGAGCACCAATATAGCAGCTATTAGCCAAAGTTAATGCTATTGCTACTTTAAGCTCTGCAGCATAAATGTTTCAATAAAACACAATGAAGAGCCTTCTTTTTGTGGGGACACATTTTGGGAAGCCTGGGTGCAATGAAGAAACAATTCAGTATCTCTTTATTAGACTTAGAGCTATGCCCAGAAAAACTGCCTCCATAGCGGGCCTCTAAAATGTTGTCAAACATTTCCTTAACTCAAGAAATTTTGTTGGATTTTAAATTTTAATCAGTGGTCCTGGATTATACATCAGTAAAATCCCTTGCTGTGATTACTAAAGGAGCTGATACCTATATGAATGTAAACACTTTGGACGCATGCTTGTACCAAAGTACTTGCTACTCTTTCTTGTTTACATAATGTGTGAGATGAACACAATTCACAGGGCTGTAAAATAAATTCCGTATGTTGGGGGACAGATAGCTATCTCTCTGTTCCTGTTCACTGAAGTATGTCCACTTCTTTTCTTTTCCCTACCCCAGTTGAGCCATATTTCCATGTGTGTATTTATCAGACTCTCTGCCACTTGTCATGTAGGGGCAGTAAGACAAGTCCTGTATGAGTGTGGCTACAGTCATGATTGTGTAATTGCTTGGAAAAATAAGTGGCCCTTTTAAAGGGAATTTTGGACACTGTTGAAAGATTTCCAAATGTGCAACTTGATCTCTCTGATCTACAACAGCATGGAGGGATCCATAGTCCGACTACCTGAAGTAATTGCTCTTAAGAAGAAGTACAAATCTTACCTCTATGTGGATGAAGCTCATAGTATAGGAGCGCTGGGTCCCAATGGCCGAGGTGTAGTGGAGTATTTTGGACTTAACCCAGAGGATGTGGATATTATGATGGGGACATTCACCAAGAGCTTTGGAGCTACTGGAGGTTACATTGGAGGCAAGAAGGTAAAAATAAATGTTGGAAAGACTTTTTTCTAAGAAAAGAATGCAGTTACCTATGAAAATAGTAAACTCTGTTCTACAAACTTGGTGATCTTGGCCAATACACACACAATCCTCATTCTTAGATATTTTGTGCCAGGCACAAAATATATATAACTTCCCACCATTGTGCTGTCTCTTTTTAACAGTCTCCCTGTTAAAAATACACAGTTGAAACAAATGCTCATTTATTACTAAAGTTACCAAATGTCCACAGCCAATAAATGAACATAACAGCAGCCCATAGCAAGTATCTTGCTCAATCACTGAATTAAGACACAGACTAAATACTATTAGCCCTCTTCCCTAACATTCACTTGTCCATTGTTTATTCTCTTTCCTCGTTCAGTATCATAACTGGCTGTAATAGCTTACCCACCTACTTTTCATACTCAGTTGCACTCCTCATTCTCCCATATACTCTCATTTTGTTCATTTCTTTTATGTAGCTCTCCGTGGTGCAGCA